AACCAAAGGAACATCATATTTATGGCGAAACCATCGTTCCGCAAGGCCGGAGGAAATGTTACTTGCCATCGATAAGTCGTTTGTTTTTGTTATTTAACATTAGAGCTCTTAGGAAATCGCAAAACACACTAGTTCTTGCAGGTTTGACCCAAAAATATCCATAACGAAAATGTTTTTTGCCTACAGTTTTCCTGAAATATTCCTGAATGCTACTCAAATAAATCAAATTGAATAGCGAGCAGGCAAAGCAGGCCAAAACTTTCATTACTGTACACCATTGTAGCTTCCATAGAAAAATGTAAAAATGCATCTGTTTAATGTGAGGTTTGATCCATATTACATAAATTGAAAACTGCTAAAGTCCAGTTTCTTCCTTGATCCAGGATAAGAGACTGGGAACACTGGAATACACGCCTGGATAGTTGGCAACTGCACACTGATAACCCCAGGAAACGATTCCTGCTAAATAACCATCGACTATCAATGGACCTCCGGAGTCGCCATTGCAGGCGTCGTATCCTCCTGCTGGATATCCTGCACACAACATTCTGTCTGTGATGTAAATTGAATACGCTGCAGTCAGAGCACCTGGAAAGTTCCTCAGTTAAACTCCGAATAGTTTCAAGATTTATTTATGTAGTTTTAAAGTAGTACACATCTAGTTTAGGCCAGTTTGCTCCTTTATCCAGGACAGTAAACTGGGGAAGCTGGTGTAAACCGCAGGAAATCCTTCGGAGGCGCAGCCTCCAAATTTCGACCAAGAAACCACTCCGGTTAAATAACCATCGACTATGAGAGGACCGCCCGAGTCTCCATTGCACACATCTGCACTTCCATCCAGAAATCCTGCACACAACATTCGCCCAGTCACATAAACACCATACACTATCGACTCGTTCTCTGGAACAGGGGAATTTGCTTTGTCTTTTGCCTGCTCAAAAGTGATTCATTTGCTAGGAAAAATAGGCAAGCTTAGTGCTTTACTCAAAGAAGATGGTAGCGTGTAAGGTGGCGCAAAATCTCCATAAAGCTTCAGAGAAGAAAAGTGTCAAATTGTGCAGTTGATCAACTTGTTCCGTTTTGCAAGCAGCAGTGGCCTACATCTTCAACGAGAAAACCCCATCAGCTTGCAAGGTAAAGCTTATTTCGAAAGACTTCAAGAAACCTACTGTAGTATTCTTCGCATTCTTCGTTGCTGACAATTGGCACATTCACCTGCTGAAGCTCGTCCATCAAAGATCCTCCATAGTACGGGGTGCCCCAACCAGTTACCGAAGCAATCGATCCTGGATTGAGTTGATTAGGAGTTTTCCTCAAAACACTCAGTGGGCATTTTTACCATTAGTTGGAGTCCAATCCTCTGGAGGTAGAGTGGCATATTGGATGGTGTTGTTGACTTCTTCTTGATGGTTGGCCAGCTTGATTAAGCCCACGTCGTAGTCGATAGTTGAACTGTTATACAAAGGGTGAGGAATTACTTGGGTGGCCAGCACCAACGTGCCACCTTCCGCCCACAAGGCGCTCCCCAATCGGAAGCTGTATCTGTGCACGCCACTGAAATCAATCTTAGATCTCACATTTCCAACTTACCACAATAATCAGCGTGAGTTCGCGCTTATTTACTTATCAGAGCATATAAAGATAATCGTTTAGGGCTGTAAAAACTTGCTTGGGACACTAGTAACGGAAGAACCTACAGTTTCCAGTGAGATTTCAACTCACCCGGATAGGCAATGGGCAGCAGTGAGAATCCAATTAGGAGAGATTAAAGAACCTCCACAACTGTGCCTGTGCCAGCTCTGAAGCGACACCTGATGAGGATGGTCACTGATGTTGACCGTCCATCCTCCAACAATCCTGCTCTCCACATGCCTCAGAACGGAGCCAGATTCTTCCACATTTTCAGCTTCAATTTGAAATACACGTTGATGTAGACTTGGTGGATACCAAGAGCCTTTCTTCATCTTCACTTACCGTATTCACTTAAAGCGCTGGATAACACGCTGATGATTACAAGCCACAGCATTCTGGTTGGTTCGGTCTTCACTAGCTGAATGGATGAGCGTTCTGGGAGATTATCATAGAAACACAGAGTTTTATGGTGGTTTCGATGATTTCTTTCCGTTTATCAGGGTTTATCAGTCCCATTATAAATTGGTGAGGATTATTATTGGATTTTCATGCATCGAATCACATGAAAATGTGGATTTAAGATGCGTATGTCTTACCTACACGGACAGTGACGGCGCCAGCTTTATGTTCCGCTTAAGCGAAAGTAGATTAAAAATACTTAAAATAACGAAAATAGCATTATAAACAGTGAATGAAAGTTTTATAAGGAGGTGACATAAATCAATAATGAAATAGTTATTCACGGAGAACATTAGAAGAGGCATTCTTCTATTATGATGCTTAGCAGCAAACGAATCTATAATTAACTCTAAATCTATTTTTTGCAATATATTTTTCAACAAAAAAAATGCCGGTCAGTAAGTGCTGAAAGTTCCTTCAAAACTTGCACTGGAAGATGGTACCGTCATTGCAATATTACATAGTTTATTTATTTTATGGAACTCTAAACTAAAATCTTGCAAAAGAAGTGTGAGATCTGTGGTTTATTTTTAGATTATTTGTGACTTCATACCTCTTAGTGGTATCTGGCAATAACTTTCTCTCGTCTTCAATTGAAACTTTATCACATTGGAAATTATTAGCAAAAGGAATAAACGTTCTAAGTGTAAAAAAATGGATTAAATGTACTAAATCGTGTTTTTAAACCCAGCTTTTGCTTCTGCAGCCCTTTTCCAGTTCGTAACAAAACTCAAACTGCTGGTTCCATCTTGTTTGAAGAAAAATCTACAAGGGAAACTGGAATACAGCATCTTTGAGAAGGCTGTACTTAAGCCAATCATTAATGATATAATAACTGGAATTAAGAATACGAAGATCACAACCATACCGGTTTTTAGGAAAACTTGCTATGACCGTCTTGAAAGTTCATCTAGCGATTGAGCCAAATTAATGACTTCGTTTTCCGCTATATGAAAATATTTGGCTCTTGTCCTGGCAGGAAACAAGTACCCATATTTAGATTAGAAAATAATTTATTAATACTAACTCAAAATTAATTCCTGGGTTTCAGTCATTTATTGTCTCTATTTATCAATTAAAATACGTTTCGGTGTATTTTTCCACCATCATCAGTTTTTATGTGTAGCGTTGTTGCTACTTTAAATTCATTAATTTAAAAAACAATCACAGTTCGTCAACAGCCTCATCATATCACACACTAAAATACATCACAATTGCAACACTTTTAAACGTTCTAAAATTAATTAGGCCTAACAGGTGATTAGTCAGGACAATCAAATTTGGGAAGAGACTATAATTCTTTGTTCAGATACTCAAATATTTTTACTTAAATGTGTAGCGTTGTTGCTACTTTAAGTCTTGGCATATATTTGGAGTATTAATTTTGTCCATTTTGCACACAAAGCGAAATACTGTTTATATTGATTTCTTTCACTTTCAGCTATTTTTCTTTGCATTCTAAGACTATTATTTTTGGTTTGCAAAATTCTTCAATATACCGGGTGTTAGTTAATATTCTATGTTTATTTCATTTAATTAATGTATGATATACTGAGCTA